AATCCCTCCAAATCCGTCCTTGCCGAACCTAATAACCATATGGTCCGCTATATTCGTGTTGGCGATGTCCCCTGCAACGAACACCATGTCAAATTGTCGTGCTTGTTGACCCAATCCTCAGATCCGCCGCTAGAGGAATGGGAAGCGATCCATTTGAGCGCGACCCATAATCCTCATACGCGATGGGGAGAGGGGCTTTGAGGGCTTTCCGGTAGTCGACGAAGCCGGCGATGACATTGGCCTCAGCGACCAATGTGTTGAGGTAATTGTGGTAGATTGAGGAGAAGGAGGATTTGATGAGGAAGGCGCCGTCGTGGTATTAGACCAAGACGGGTAGCTTCTCTCCACGTATGGTCTGCTTCTGGATCAGAGAATCACATCCCTGCTGCCCTCGCCAGCGGAGGAAGAGGAGTAATACCGAACATCTTTGGATTGGAGGGTGGATTTAGGATTGTGGAGAGAAGGCGGGACGATTTTGGTACTCGTGAGGCGCTGCACGGTGCCATCTTTAGTGAGGCGGAGGAAAGGGAGGAACTCCCTGACGGGCTCGAAGTGTTCGTGAGAGCCTGAAGAATTCACTTTATGGAGGTTTCACTGGACATGGGAGACATAGATGGGTCTGGAGGTGGAAAAAGAAGAAGAGGAGTTCAAAGATGGGAGATGGTACTTAATTGGAATGAGGAGATGGAAGAGCAAAAGGGGAGTTGGGAGATTGGTGACGGGATTGTGTTTCTTTAATTTGGAGCAGGCCATGGCTAAAGCGGAAGAAGAAGAAGAAGAAGAAATGAGAGAGCACATTTTTATTTTTTTTTTATTTTTTATTTTCCATGTCATTAAGTTAACGGTCTAGTCAACAGTTCTGTTTGCCACGTCATCAAAAAACTGACGGAGTTAACGGAGTCTGATGGAGACTGACAGCCGGTGACTAACGGTGAAAGGATTCATAAAGTTAGTAACGAATCAAAAAGAAAAGTAATTCAAGTGGCAAACGTAAAATATTTATGTAATTTGAGTGACCAAACGTGTAATTTAGCCTTGTACCTAAGTTCTCCAGAGATTTTTTCTATATGCAATGCATCTATGTGACAAGGGACAGTAAAACTTCCTGGATCATGTTGTTTGTGAGGAATTTTGTTTTGGAGGATGGCGGAGAATTCCTCTCTAAGCTTCACCATGGAAATGTCATGTAACTTCTTCTTCTTGGTGAGCACCTCCTTCAAGAACTTTGTGACATTTGACCCATAGTATCCAAGAACATAAGGGTGATGTGAAACTTCTTTCGTTGATCCTTGTTCTCAACCACAACTGGTGTCAACTTTGCCTACCGAGCCTCTTCATCATTTCCTTCTATTGATTCTTCTTCTAGATCTAGTGGAGGAAGCTCCACTTTGACAAATTTCTTTAGGAATGCCTCTTCAATTACCTTTCCATTTTGGAGTGAGATAGTATACAATCCCACTCTTTGATCCTTAGGGTTGGCCACAATTTGAGTCGGAAGTGCCCCATGAGGTTTTTCTATAAGAGCTTCTGCAATGTTCCAATTTGGGATTCCAAATTTTTGGAGATGAACTTGTGGCTCCTGAATCTGGTTTCAAATGTAGGATACCTTCATGAACTTCTCAATTGCCTTGAAATTTTTGGTACTTGTACTCATAAAGGAATTGACAAGGTCTTCAAGCTTGGAATCTTTTCCGGTTGTTGATGAATGAAGCCTTGCCCGTTTTGTGGTGATAAGCTTGTGATTGGAAGTTCTCAGCTTGGAAACGGGGCCTTTATTGTTGGTAGGCTGGCCTTTGTTGTTGGTATCCTCCCGTTGGTGCTTAAAAACCAAGAGGTCTTGGATTTGAAGATGATACCCATGAAATATTTGGATGTTGGCGTTACCCCGGATTATAAGTGTTGTTATAGGGGTTTTTACCTCCACTAGCATTAGCAATTAAGTCAACTTGTTCTTGGGTTATGATTGCCTCCACCATGGCTCGAAAATCATCTAGGGCATGGTTTAGACTTTGAAACCATTCACATAGATTCACATGAGCCTTGGGTTGTCCAGTTGAAGGTGCTTTGGTGTTCTTCACCATCAAATCATCTATCTTTGCCTCGAGTGAAGAACAAGATTAAAACGAGTGTGTGCCTTTCTCCCTTGAATTTCTTTCTCTTGTAATGACTCCCAATCATATCCACAAGCCACTATCTCCACAAATAATCGTATCATTTGAGGAGGATTCTTGTTGAGCATATCTCCTTGGAAAAGGAGTCGATAAGCATGCAATCTTTTTGAGGGGTTCCTTGGTTGATCAGGATTGCTCGAAGAGAAAGAAAGAGGAATACTTTTTGGTAGGGATTACAAGTAAATTTTCATTGCCAACTAGATGGGGTGTTTGATGTCTTACTTTTTAGGGACGATCTTAGTTTCATTCTTCACTAGTTGTTTAGCATCAAAATTTTGGGGCCTCTCAAGTATTACCTAGGGATTGAGTCAATCTTATTGGGTGAGGGTAACTTACTTTTTCAGCACATATGCACTCTTGATATACCCTATATGCGAGCCTTGTTGTTGGTGGCCTAGTGTCTTTCCGTTTGAGTAGAATTACAAGTTAGCTCACCACCACCCCCTAGTGATAATGATATGGAAGGCTATAGAACTTGATGTGTTTTGCTTATAGTCATCTTGTTAGTCATCTAATGTCACTAACCGTTAATCACCTAGACTTTGGTTATGCATGTCATCTTCTTAAGGCAGTTTATTCATGCTCCAACTTTTGTTCATGTTGAAGGCGTTGAATGTGTGTTACATCACCTTAAGCACGATCCAATTCAATGTGTTTTCTTGCCTCCTCTGATGATCTTCATGTGCAAGCCTTTTGCAATGTTGATTAGGGTGGTAGGGGTGGGCATCCGGTTCGGTAAACCCGAACCGAACCGACCCGAAACCGATTACAACCGAACCGAAACCGAATTAAAGTTATTCGGTTCGGAAATCGGAAAGGAAATGTGCTTAGTTCGGAAAATAGACTCTTATCGACCGAACCGAGATTCCGATTACCGAACCGAAAAACCGAAAAATTACCCAACCAATGTATCTTACCTCACTGCTCAGCCCACTTGTCCAAGGGCCTTGGCCCAAATCTTTCCCCCCAGCCCACCGCTTTCCCTCACACTCTCTTCTCGGCTTTCATATTTCCTAACCTAAGAAATAACAGAAAGAGACAAGACAAGAGTCTCCATTGCATGTCGTCCAGCCGCTCGGCGCTCGCCCACCTGCTTTCATCTCACCACGACCGAAGCATAGCACAAGTCGAAATCTCCCTCGCCGTTGCGGTCGCTGGCTTCAAAGCTCAAATCCGTAGCTTAATCGGACCGTTGAGGATGGCGGTGATGTTTTACTCCTGCTGCTGAAGGTTGGAGAACAAGACGAGCAGGTTTTGAGTCTGAACCCAAAATAGATCTGCCCAACCTCGTTCTTCCTCTAAAAACCCCACCTTTTGGATCTCTACCTCTCCAGCTCTCTCTTTCCTCCCCTGGGTCCCTGCTTCTTCTCCTTCAGGCTACTGCTGCTTCTCTCCTTTTCTTTTTATGTCGATGGTCTTTCAAGAAAAGGAAAAGGAAGTATCGAGAGATGGAAGAAAGTAGGTTTTGTTTCTGGTAAGGAGAAGTTAGGGAGAGGAGAAGCACATTGAGAAGAAAGAGAGATAAAGGATAAGAGATTTGTTTCTCGTTTTGGTTGGATTTACAAATATTTGAGTGGCTTGAAATGAAAGAGGGCCCCTTCTTTCCATCTCTGAAAATGTGCCTTGCATATTTCGGTTTGTGTCTGAAAATCGAACCTAACCGGAAGATAATTCAGTTCGGTCAAACCGAACCGAATTATATTTCGGTTCGAATTCGGTTTGCACCTTAGACTGAATCGGAAACCCGGTATGTTACATTTCGGTTCGGTTTTGACCGAACCGAATCGATGCCCACCCCTATAGGGTGGTTGTCGTCTGACTTGCCGAGGGTTATTTCATTTCTCTAGTTAATACTTTGACTAGGTATTTCGATGTTATTTACGTTAGTCTGAATGTTCTTAATTGTGATAATCAACCTGCTCTTCGCACTATTGTCAATCTTTTTTTTTATGAGTGAACCAAGAACATCAAGATGGTTTGCTACTGTTTGTGAGTGTGTCACCTCTCATGAAACCCTTCATCGTAATATTATCACTCATGGTCATCCCCAAATATAGATGTGTCATACAAGTCCCTGTCTCTTGATAAGACCATTACCTAATTTCTTAGGGGGCCATGCCAAGCTTAATTGAAATTGGAAAAGGTAGAGCAAACTTGTTTAGCAAGGGTCTTGGGGTGACTATACTCTTTTAAATAGCTTCGTGCCTCATTTCTACCTCCTTAAATATGAACATTAATTAACCTTTTTATTCTAGTTTTAAGGAGACCTAGTCCACTTTTTTATAAATTAAAGTGTAGCATGGTTGCTTACAAACTACTACGTTTAGTTGGAATAGATCTTGAATTTATGTCTTTGTACTACGCCCTTCGGACTTAAAAAAAAACACTAAACTCTCATTGAACAACTACACAAATGGATCCAATGATTTAACAAACTCAGCCATGAAAGACTAAGAAATGTTGCTCTGCTTTTAATTTTATTTATGAAGCCGCATCTACGATCGTGTTAAAAGGTGGAAGAAACAAAGCATATACTTGGTGACAAAACTTCTAAGGATACCTTCAAGTACTCTGATTGCTAGCATCCATCACCTGTTCATTTCGAATTCGACCCATTTTTGGATCACTAACACGATCAAATCCTGCACAATATACCAACACACACAAAAACATTTCAATTTTCGTCGTCTCCTTCCCCAAATCCCATGCTCTATGCCTCGTCTTCTATATAAACGTCACTGACCAAAATTCCCAAATCTCACAACACTATCTATCAATATCAGCTATCCCCTTCAATTAATCGTAGTGGGAAGAGAAAAAAACAGGGCAATGGAAACAATTCCTCGACCCAATTCGCTGCTCCTTCTTCTTCTCAACTGTCTAGTCCTGTTCATCGGGTCAACCAACGGAGTGGAATACCCGGTGACCATCACGGCACTCAACACCTCCGCCGGCGTCCAGCGGTTCGTGCGGCGGATCGGGAAGAGCTACGCCAGCCGGAGGATGGAGTCCGGAACGAACTTCATATGGAAAACCCTCCACCAGACAGCCGCCGGCGACGATGGCGAACGGAAGGATTACAGCAGGGTAGAGCTGTTCATCCAGAGCATGAAACAACGGAGGACTTACCACGTGGACAACAGGATCGCGATCAATTCCGAGTATATCGGCAATTACACGGCCGGGAATCTCAAGCGGGAGTTCACGGGCCTGTTGTACCAGCAAATGGCGCTGGTTTGGGCCTGGGACGGCGTGGGCCAGGCTCCAGCGGGACTCGTCAGTGGGATTGCCGATTATGTGAGGATGAGAGCTCATCTGGTGAGTCGTTCTGGATGGGCCCGGCCCGGGGACGGGGAGAGGTGGGATCAGGGGAATGACGTTACGGCCCGGTTCTTGGAGTATTGTGGCAAGTTTAAGGAGGGGTTTGTTGGGGAGCTGAACCGGAAGATGAAAAACGGTTACTCGGATGACTATTTTAAGGAGCTGTTAGGGAAGAACGTTGATAGGGTTTGGAGGGATTATAAGGCAAGGTACCCCAGGTGAAGGACAAGTTTCAATTAGGGAGATCGTGAAGATGTATGTTTTGAGCTGAAAGAATGTAATTTTGGGTTTTTTGTTTGTTCCATTACATGTTTTTTGCTGGATCATTGTAATGTTTACAGGGTGGCACGCTCGATCATAGTTTATCGTTGTTGGATTTAAGAAACTATTAATTGCATTGCTATTTTGGATTGGAAGATTAGTTTTAGTTAATACATAGTTTGAAGTCGAAATTATAAGAACAAAATTTAAAGAAACAATAACAATCATAAATGAAAAGGTTAATACCACTAAAACACCTCAGCTATAAAAAAAAATTGTCATTTGTGTTCTATTTTATTCGATATGACAATCTTATCTCGAACTATTTTTCTATTAGTGTTGACCGTTAGTAGTTAACGGCAAGAAGTTGCCTGCTAATTAAAGTGTTAGTGCACTAGGTTTAAAAGTTTTGATGTAGTGAAGTAGAATTATTATTCACATATTTCTTGAAATTAGAAAATATTATCTTGAAATTAGAAAAATAAACTCAATCTATCTACACATTTCAAAATAAACTCAATCTATCTACACATACTAAGATTTGAACCATGACCATTTTAAAGAAAAGTAAGGATCATAACCAATCTCACTATTTACATTTGTTGTATCTTTTTAAATTAAAAACATATAATAGCAGGGAGGAAAAAAAATTTCCCCCATTTCAAATTCCCTGCTCCAGGAGTGTTTGTAGTAAGGGTAGAATAGGGAGTGTCAATTTTTTCTCTTTCCTCTGTGGAACAGGCCAACTTACCGTACACATGCGGATTTGAACGGGTCCAGGAGTGTCAATTTTTTTCTTTAAACCCTTTTATTTCTCCGTGGTGATAAAATATATATGAAAAGGCAAAAATAATACTTCTTTTTATTGCTAAAAATAAAAAATTTAATAATAAACTAATACATGGTATCTAATGGGCTAACCGCTAACCATAAAATAAAATAGTTGAATGGGTCTGGCCTACACGGGATTTGGCCATCAAGTAAAATAAATGAACATCATTGGTTTGTCATTCTAAAACAAACTATTTTCTCTGGCATAATATATATTATGCTATTATTTTATATCTTAGTGGCTAAAATATAATGTATTTTAAAGTTATTCAATGGTTCAACCTCGACCAACCCAATTAGTCCAATTTTTATCATTTCAAATATACATTATATAATTATTTGATATCATAATGATCAAATTATAGTGTATTTTATAGGGAATCGTTTGATATTTGTTAGTAAAAAAACTAAACAGAAAGATCTATTTGGTTATTTTAAACATTAAAACGATCCTAAACATTTTCAGTTCCTTTTGAATTTCTATGGTTTTATTCCCGAATAAGTGATGTGCAAATGGCGAATTGCAGTCATCTCTTTTCTTTCACTATTTTTTATTTTCAAATAGAAAGTTTAAAGGTAAAGAATAATTAGAATTTTGCATGGGTCGGTCAAACAAGCTGAATTTCAAGTTTTGGCCCGTTTTGATCAAGTCTAATTTATATTCACATGGTTCCCTGATACCCGATAAAAATCTCAATCCAAACCAGTTTGGGAGGTGAGTTCGTGTTTACCACCATTTTATAGGGATACGACAACGGCGGTTCCTATCCCAAATCGTGTTGTTCGTTCTTGATTTCCTTAGATTTTATCATGGCCTGACAAAAATCAGAAAGCACAATGACGACAAGATGAAAGTTTTATAAAGCAAATTAATAGGCCAACGGGCCGAGTAAAAGCTAGCAACGATTGTGAGATGCTCATTTCCCGAAAACTGACGGGATAGGCGATTTTTTATTCGATTTTCTGGAATTCGGTTTCTATAAAACTTACTCCACCTCATCATATTACCAGAAACAATATAGTTTCACAAGGTAACAGGTACTTGATTTTGGTTCATAAGACCGATTTTTGATTGGTTGCATCATTCATGTCTCTTTCCTACTAAAATTCACTATTTTTATCACGTGTTTCCCAAAAAAACTATACAACAATAAGCTATACACCTCATTACATTTTCAAATTTCATACTTCACCTTCCTCCGGCCAACTGGCCGGGGCTCACACTAGTTATCTTAAGAAAACTCAAATCCCTCGTTGCTCCATCAATCTCACCTCCACTACCTCAGCATGTATAATGTATATTGAGGACCATGATCTAACTTGCCATCACAAACCCTTTTTAAGAAGGTTATTCCCTTCAAAGATACCTTGTCAAGTCCAAGAAGAACGGGATCCTGCTCTAGCATTAGGAAATGGTCATTAGAGTGATAACGGGCTTTATAGATTTCTGCCAATGTATTGTCTAGAGCTGTTAGAAGTTTCCAGGCTTGTTTAGCTAACATGGCTATGTAAATCGATCGAAGTCTCTTAATTCCAGACCTCCCTCAAATTTACTATTACATACTTCAGACCATGAAATCCAATGCATTTCTTTGTCTTTGTATTGGTTAGCCCACCAAAATCGGGCTAATTGGCTATTAGGTCTTCGACATTAAGTCTATCGATTTTATCACCACTTCTTTGGCTTCCAATGACATATGTTTAGATTTCCAGTTCTGGATCCTGGCCGATAAAGAGTCCTCAATATATCGAAAGGTAAGGACTTTAGATCGATGGATTTTTTATGGAAGCCCTAAGTATCGATCATGGGTCCCTATTTTGGCTACTCCTAGAGCATTTGCTAATGTTGTAGCTTCTTCGTCAGAGATATTAGAACTAAAGGTACCAATCGATTTTTGTAGGTTAACTCGTTGACCGTTTCGTGTGATTGCAGTAATCCCAACAAATTTGTTATTTCCTGTCTTGAGGCTCTAAGAAAGAGATATGAGTCATCAGCGAAAAAGAGGTGAGAGGTCCCTATGCACGTGGAGCCCATGTAGAGAATAGTTTAAGATAGCGGCTTGGATCATAGCCGAAGATGCCTCTGTGTAGATGGCAAATAATAATGGAGAGAGAGGGTCCCCTAGACGTAGTCCCCGCTAAGGTTTGAAAAACCCTTGCATTGAGACATTCAAGATTATCGAGAAGGAGACAGTAGTGATACAAGAGCGGGTCCATTTGATCCACTGATAACTGAATCACAATGCTTTCATTACATTTATTAGAAATTCCCATTCTACAAGAGGAGATTTTTTGGAAACAAAAGTCGAGAACGACTTATCTCCAGTTAAGGGACTTAAATACCCATTTCTTCCACCAATCCACTATTCAAAGAAGGAGGAAAAGCATTATTAAAATTCTTAAAGACGATAATGGATATCCTCATACAAATGAACAAAGTAAAGCTTCAGTAGCTGTTGACTTTTTTGTCCACCTCTTCACGTCAAATGGAGTAGATTCCCTACCTATGGTGACTAACCTGGTTCTTGTCAGTAAAGTGAATCCCTTCATGAACTCCTCCTTAACATCCGTGATTTCTCGAGAGGAAATGAAGAGAGTTACTTTTACTATCTTAGTATATCAGGCTCCAGGTATAGATGGTTTCACAAGACTCTTTTATCAGACCTATTGGGAGGATATTAGTAACTCACTGTGTGAGGCTATCCAGTCTTTCTTTCACTCAAGAAGACTCCTCCATAATTCCAACCACACTCTAATTACCCTGATTCCCAAGGTTCCGAATGCAGAATACATGAGACAAATGCGACCTATAGGACTATGCCAAGTTTTCTACAAATTTATTGCAAAAATCATGGCGGACAGACTAAGCCATGTGTTACCACTCATAGTGGGTCCTAACCAAAATGGTTTTGTAATTACCCTGATTCCTTAAGACGAAAACCAGTGAAAGAGAAAAATGGATGGCGCTAAAACTTATGATTGATATGTTTGCCCTATAACTTTTTAATCAAACTCTAACATAATATGTGAGATTTACAAGCCCATAAGACAACCCACATATTTTGACACTCACCAATAAACAATAGAGTTAAGGTAAATCAATCAAACTTTAAATTTGAATCACAAATTCATGACACAAATACAGCAATAGGGGTGTTCAAACGGATCGGTTACCGTGGTAACCATATTAACCGGTAGCATTCGGTTTATTTGGTTTGGTTAATTTGGATAATTGGTTTGGTTTGGTTAAACAATTTAGCTTATTTGGTTTAGGTGGGTTGGTTTGGTTTCAACACTGCTAACCAATGAAACCAATTAACCAATAAATGATACACCTAATATACAAAATTATTTATACTTCCATGCAACCAACCAAACCAAACATTCGTGATTCCCTATTTCATTTCCATGTGCACAACAAACCAAAACATTATGGGTCAAAAATTAAATGGGCATGCCTATATTTACTAAACCAAAATATTTTTGACAACAACTTGACTTTAGGATTGCGTACAATACCATGACAACCACCTCAAACTATGTATAGTTTAGGGAAAAATCCAAAAGTACCACTATTTAAAAAAAGAATTCCAAAAATACCACCCAACTCCAAAAAATTCCTACCACCCTCTTTCAAAAATCGCCACCCCACCCTACGGTTTACACGAAAAATACCGTATATCCACAACTAATTCCTGTTTTGAAATTTACATCCTAGTAAAAGTTGTAGATCTTAAAAAGTTTTGCGAAATGAAAAAAAATCGCTAGGATCGGATACCCTAGTGCAAAGTTACGTTCGTTTGAAGTCTCGGCCGAAATTAGGAGTTGATCGGAAAAAAAAAATTTGGACCAAACCGCCACCCCACCCAGCAGTTTGGTCCAAATTTTTTTTTTAGGAGAGCTTTAACTTTCTGATGAATTGGTATTGGTATGCATTTATGTTAAGGGGTTTGTTGTAAACTACCTATATTAGGTGCAGAGATGATGAATGATGTATTTAATCGAAGAATGTTGTAAACTACCCAGCGGTTAGTCTTGTTATTATTGCTTATATAAAAAGATAGTTTATGTTTGTTTTCATGTAATGTTATGTTATTTGGTTTATCCGATTATCCGATTAACCAAACCAA